CATTGATGTCTGTGAGAAAGGTATATTCACTCGACAAGCTCGCGCATCTGCGCCGCTGTGCGCTCAATCCACTCTGCTGTTTTTCAGCTCGCGCACATCAGCTTAATCGTAGACATCCTTAAGATTCAAGATTCAAGATTCAAGTAGCTTTATTGGCATGGTAAAAAAGTATCTTTACATTGCCAAAGCATAGAAACATTTAAATAGACATTTAACACAAATAAACATAAGAGTAGAAGTATATAGCATATATAGTCTATATATCTGTATACAGTAAAATGAAAGTACTAATAAAGAGACAGGAGAAGGACTGGATCCTGTCATGTCAGTTTATGTGTGTTGTACAGTGTTTTCTTCCGGCTGTGACTTGTGGTTCTGTTCTACTCCTCGTCCTTTTATCATGGCAGGACTTGACGTACCTCGCCTTGGGCTTTTCTCTGGGTTCAGTTCTTGGTAGTTTAAGGCTTTATGGTGGAGGGTCTCAGTACATCTCAGACATCCTTAATCTCTTATAACTCCATTCTGCTGTCTGTTGTTCTGTTGTCGGTGTTTCTTTGTCTGAATATGGCACTGATCACATGCTGTGTGTTATCGGCGTTTGGTATCGGGGCATTTTAACGAGTATGAGTACAGGAGCTCAGTATCGGGCCCGATACCGATACCAGTATCGGTATCGGTGCATCCCTATTTTTAAGTGTGTTTAACAATGAAATGGAGACAAGGTATAAGAGTCCGAGGTAACGGCTGAACACGGCGCGTGTGAAGGCGGACAGATGGGCGCTCTGTAAATTTGTTGCGTTTGATGTGCTGTCTTTGAAGTTCTAATTGAGCAGGAACAGTGAGGAGGGATGGAGTACTTAGAACAAGTCCATCAATCACGTGTACTTTTATATGCCAAAAAGCATGTTGAAGTACAGGCATCAGATGTTAGTTTTATTATTTAAGTGGAACTTGGATATTTCTAATGCATTCTTTGGTTTACTTCGCTCTGTACTGTCTAGTACTTAACCTCAACTCTGGCCTTGTGACTTCCGCAAGTGTTTCTGAAGGTTCAGTCTGAGACTAATAGGCTTTCTGTGGCTTCAGAGGACATTTAATCCATAGACCGTGGAGCTGGCTTTCTTGTGGCAAACGGTTCGCATTTGCACGGACTCTTCACTCCACACATATGTATGGAAACGTACAGTAGGGAA